TTATGTCAAGGCGGAGAAATGCGTATTCCATCCACAGTCTGTTCCATTTCTGGGACATATCGTGTCGGTCGAGGGGATGCGCATGGATCCAGAGAAAGTTCAGGCTGTGGTAAATTGGCCAACCCCAGACTCCCGCAAGGCCCTGCAGAGGTTTCTTGGTTTTGCCAATTTTTACCGGCGTTTCATTCGCAACTTCAGCCAGCTCGCCGCACCTCTGACTGCCTTAACCTCCATCAAGACTCCGTTCAGGTGGTCCAATGCAGCACAAGTTGCATTTGACCGACTGAAAAGCTGCTTTGTTTCAGCCCCCATTCTCATTGCCCCTGATCCATCACGGCAGTTTGTGGTGGAGGTTGATGCATCAGAGGTGGGGGTCGGTGCTATCCTGTCCTAGTGCTCTTTCTCGGACAACAAGATGCATCCTTGCGCGTATTTTTCTCATCGTCTCAACAATGCAGAACGAAATTATGATATTGGTAATCAAGAGCTGCTGGCTGTCAAGCTTGCGTTGGAAGAGTGGCGTCATTGGCTAGAGAGTTCAGGGGTTCCCTTTATCGTTTGGACTGATCATAAAAATCTGGAGTACATCCAATCCGCCAAAAGATTGAACTCTAGGCAGGCACGGTGGGCTTTATTTTTTGGACGTTTCGATTTTTCCATCTCGTACTGACCAGGTTCCAAGAATATTAAACCTGACGCACTTTCTCGAATTTTTGATTACTCCGAGCATGCATCATCTCCTGAAGCCATCGTGCCACGCAGACTTTTTATCTCTGCTGTCACCTGGGAGATCGAGTCAAGGGACCGCATGGCCTTAGAAGGGGTAACGCCTCCGCCTGGATGCCCACCGGGTCGTTTATTTGTGGCAGAGGATTTACGGTCTGACGTCATACGTTGGGGTCACTCTTCCAAGTTGGCCTGTCATCCTGGGGTAAGTCGTACCTTGTCTTTAGTCAAACAACGATTCTGGTGGCCACTTATGGCTCGTGACATAAGGGAATTTGTGTTGGCTTGCTCAGTTTGTGCTGTTTCTAAGACTTCCAATCGCCCTCCCGCTGGACTTCTTCAGCCGCTGTCAGTGCCATCGAGACCCTGGTCCCATATTGCGCTAGATTTCATTACGGGTCTCCCCCCCTCCAACGGGAATACAGTGATTTTGACCGTAGTGGACCGGTTTTCGAAAGCCACTCACTTTATCCCTCTGCCCAAATTACCATCAGCCAGAGAGACAGCGGCTGCTGTCATTGACCATGTCTTTCGTATTCATGGCCTCCCGACAGATGTGGTTTCTGACAGGGGGCCTCAGTTCATCTCTAAATTTTGGAGAGAGTTTTGTCATTTAATGGGGGCGACTGTTAGTCTTTCTTCTGATTTCCACCCTCAGAGTAACGGTCAAACGAAGAGAGCCAACCAAGATCTTAAACGTATGTTACGATGTTTAGTCTCTCAGAATCCATCCTCCTGGAGCCAGCAGCTCTCATGGGTTGAGTACGCACATAACTCATTACCAGTGTCTGCCACGGGCCTCTCTCCGTTTGAGTGTAGTCTAGGGTACCAGCCACCTGCATTTCCCAGTCTGGAATCTGAAGTCGCGGTTCCCTCCGCCCACGCCTTTGTCCAGAGGTGTCGACGTACTTGGAACAGGGCCAGACAGACCCTCCTTCAAGTAGGTTTGCGCACCAAGGCTAAAGCCGACCGCCACCGTTCTAAGCCTCCCGTTTACGTTGTCGATCAAAAAGTGTGGCTTTCATCTAGAAATATTCCTCTCCGCACCGTATGTAATAAACTTGCACCTAAATTCATTGGCCCGTTTTCTGTCACTAAAATCATTAGTCCAGTGGCAGTCCGCCTCAAACTTCCTCCAGCGTACAGGAGAATTCATCCCGTTTTTCATGTCTCTAAATTGAAGCCCGTTTTTCATACGGACATTAATCCGCCTACTCCGGTTCCCCCCCCCCCCCGCCGCGTCTCGTAGAGGGGGAGACGGTTTATTCGGTTAGGCGCATTCTGGACTCGAGACGGAAGGGACGAGGATTCCAGTACTTGGTGGACTGGGAGGGTTACGGTCCAGAGGAGAGAAGTTGGGTTCCTGCAAGGGACATATTGGATCATTCTCTCATCGATGATTACAATCGCCAGGTAAGCTCTTCTGTGAGCGGCAAGAGGCGCTCTTAGGAGAGAGGGTACTGTCACGGTTTATGGATCTGTGTGTTCCTCCTGTATGTTATGTATCTTGCCTTGTGTGTTGTCATGTGTGAGGGTGTGTGTTTGTTTACCTTTTGTGTTGACAGCGTGCTTTTGGATCAGCTGATGTCATCAGCTGACTTAATCATCTTCCAGCCAGTCCTTATTTGCCTGGCTATATATTTCCTCATGTGGTATGTTCTGGTTATCAGTCCGTTGTTTATCTTGTTTCTGTCTGTTGTTTTCCAGAATCCTTCGTTGTTCATTGATGTCTTCATTGTGACCCGTGGCTCTCGTTTCGAACTTTCTTGTCTCCAGTTCACTCCAGAGATATCCTTTGTTTCATTTTTCAGTTAATAAACACTTGCAATTGGATCCTTTTCGTTTAGTGTCGTGACATCAGATTCATTAAACATTTATTCATTCATTCCCCTGCGGCTTAGTCACTTATATATCAGGGGTCACCACAGCAGAATAAACTGCCAATTAAACATTCCACAAGATCAAAATAATCTACAGTGCTTTAAAATCATAGGACAGGAAGAGCTTGATAAACTTATAAATATGTCTAAACCAGCTACATGTATGTTAGAGCCAATTCCAACAAACTCACTAAGAGAGTTGCTACCTGTAGTAGGAGAACCTCTTCATAACGTCTCAACTCTTCTTTATCTTTAGTGTACTATCAGCCGTCTTTATCAAAACTGGTTAAAAACCAGTATAATCTACATTCAGGCAGTTATACTCTTACTACACAAAGTCTATCTTGAATAAAAAAGTAGAATCACTTTAAAATAATTCACCGTAAAATTGGAAAATCACTTTAGACATTTTAGATAGTATTAACTCTTATAAATAACATAAGAAACAGTTTCTTTCAGTCCTCAGCACTTCAGTTTCACTCTAGGTCTCCGTGAACTTTGACCTAGTTTGGTGGCTGCTGAAAAAGTTACAAAGAGACAAGCAAATGCACTGACGATTCTTACATAAAGCAGTGTGTTAAATTATTTATTAGTTAAAATCATTTTAAAGTTAAATACTCATTAAATAATCAAATTGTCATATTTTATAAAAAATAATGAGAAACAGGATGATGTGAAAAGGATAAAAGTTGATCCATGCTGAGATGGATTGGAAGGTATAAATCCGAATCCTTCAGGTCAATCAAAAAATCCTCATAGATCGCTTAAATTTGACAAGTTTCCAGGGAACGGCTTTATGATGGTTTAAGTTTTAGGCCCTTTGCTGTTTACAATATACATGTTTTACTGGATGACCAACAACTTCATTCCTTTAAATTCAGACAAATCAGAAGTATTACTTATTGGGCCAAAATCCTAAACACAGCAGATCTTACAACTCAACCTGTAGTCAGAGGGATACAAAGTTAGTATTAGCTCTACTGTGAAAGATCTGGGAGTTATATTAGACAGCAACTTAACGTTTGAAAACCATAACTCCCATGCCACAAAAACATCTTCTTTCAGTTGAGAATTATCACTAAGTTATGATGAAGCATGTTATCTATGCCAGATGCAGAAAAGCCAGTTCATGCTTTTAGGACTTCTAGACTGGATTACTGTAATGCTCTGTTTGCTGGTTGCCAGGGATCCTCCATTAATAATCTTCAGTTAGAGCCTGAGTTTTTACCAGGTAATGAAAATATGACAACATTACCCTAATTGTAAGTTTTATACACTGGATGCTTGTTAAGTTCAGTTCTGATTATAAAATATTGCTTCTTAACTAAAAACCTTTAACAAATCGAGCTCCTGTTTATCTAAGCCAACCTTCTGTCTTGCTACAATACAACTCGCTCTTTAAGATCTCAAAACTCAGGGCTTGTGGTAGTACCCAGAATAGCAAAGTCCACTAAAGGAGGTCGAGTCTTCTCATTTATAGCTCCTAAACTCTGGAATAACCTTCCTGATAATGTCCTAGGCTCATTGGTTTTATAACTGCTACTTTCATTTATAGCACTTCATTTTCACATTGACATTTAATATCTCTTGTTCAAATACTTATTCAAACAGCAGCTACGCTAATCATTTTCTTTGTTCTCTATTTCTACCTGGGGATGCTCATCCTGAGGCTTCTAGAGATTATGCAGCACCACTGATGAGATCCAAGACCTGTGAAGAGATGATGCCAACCATCGAGGACTCATGGACAACACACACACTCAATACACAAATACACTTCATTAAACATATACACATAGACATCACGTATATGCTATAAGACTGCAGGTTAACAATGTCTACATCAGAACTTAAATTTGATCCTAATTTTAACTTAATTTGATTGTGATGCAATAATGTGATCTTTTGTTAAGCTGCTTTGAAACAATAATTATTGTAAATAGTACAGTAATACTAGACACATAAACCTGGCTTGAGTTGAAGGATGATCTGAAGCTCCTCATCCTGTTCTTCAGCACTGAGATTTTATTCCATCTCATTTCTTAAGCAAAGATGCTGAATTGTACATTACACAGCCATCGTATATTTCTGGCCTTAGCATTGCTCAGTTTACTATTTTCAATGAGTGTATCAATGATGATCCTTACGGTCAGTGTCAATATCAGGGGTGCCTAAACTCGGTCCTGAAGAGCCCTACATAGTTCAGCTTCACCTTGCCTCAACACACCTGCCTGGAAGCTTCTAGTACACCTATATAGAGCTTGATTAGCTGGTTCAGATGTGTTTAATTGTGGTTAAAGCTCAAATCTGCAGAACATCGGCCCTCCAGGAATGAGTTTGGGCACCCCTGGTCTATACTATATTCAGTAGTTAGTCACCTCTCCTTTTACCTTGTGATCTCCAGTGTCTGCGTCTCTCTCCTAGTGTGGTCTATCCTGGTTCCCTGACTGGTTGTCATGTAGTCTCCGTGTTTGGTCGCCTGTGTTCCTGGTTATCCGGCATCTACTTCTAGTAATACCAACATCCATCCAGCGTTCTTTTTCACTTGTTTCTGTTGACTGCCATCCTGAAAATAAACTTAATATACTAACCATCCTCATTCCAGTCCTTTTGAGACACCAAGCATTGACCAGCTTGTTAAACATAAATATGTTGTGTTATGATCTAATGCTTAGGCAAATAACTGAGAAAGCACAAATCAGAGGCTGCGTTTTTATCATGTCGTTATTATGTATTGTAGACGTCTTGCAAAGTACTTTATGGTTTTTTTAAACTACAAAATTAGAAGAAAGTATTTTAATACAAAATATTCAGCCATTTTTATCAACCCTATAATACAATTGATAACGTATTGTTTTGTTTTTGAAATCTGTATTTGAAATAAATGTATCATAAACACTGTCCATGCCTGTGTGTAAACATGCTGAGCATAAATACACCCCTCACAGATCTCTTTTATTTTTCATATTTTTACAGGATGCTTTATATTAATATATTTGTGCATGTATATTAGTTTAGTCAGTATCAAAGCTAAAACTGGATTTATTCAAACACAAAGAAACCTTTAAATCACAGTTCAAAAATGACTCTCAGATTAATATGTTGCAAGAAAATAATTTAATAAACAGGAAAAATCAAGACATGATAAAATATCAAATGAAGTTGAGTTTTTGTATTTTTTTTTAATTTGAATTTAAATATATTGACATTTAGCTTGAAAAGATTCTCCCATACTTCATATCTGAAGAGCAAACAGGTTTTCTTAAAGGGAGACATTTGTTTTGTAATGATCGTACTCTTTTGAATATGCTCTTTTGCTGTCCCTGAAGTTGGGATTTGCTCCTGATGCTGAAAAAGCATTTGACAGAGTTGAATGGCCGTACCTCTTTGCTGTACCCAAGAACTTTGGTTTTGAGAAAACTTTTATTTCATGGATTCATCTCTTATATGCTCAGTCCTAGGTCAGTGTAAGGCATGCATTCGCAATACTTTAAATTAGGCCGAGGTAGGCGACAGGGATGTCCACTTTCCCCTCTAATATTTGCTCTGGCTATTGAGCCATTTTATGCGAATGATGACCTGTTGTTATATGCCTGTAACTTGATGGCTGCCATTCCTTCTATCATTTCCATTCTTAACCAAATTCGGCTGATTTTCTGGTTTTAAAATTAATTTTCATATGAGTCAGTGTGACTCTGTTAATGCTTCAACCCTGCAACTTAAAGACTCTGAGGTTTAATTTAGGATGTGTACATCTGGTTTTAAATATCTGGGATAAATTTTACCAGATCTCTATCACCTCTCTTTACTGCTAATTTTACTCATTTATGCTCAAACTTTGACTTCCAAAAGTGACGCAATCTTCATTTATCCTTAATTGGAGAAATGAACACAGTTAAAATAATTGTTATTCCTAAATTTGTCATTTAAAAACCTACAAAAAAATTTAAAAAGACATGTTTTTATTTACTCATTTTTATTTACTATTGATATTATTATTGTTGTTGGTGTTATTATTATTATTATTCAGTCATGCTATTTAACACTATTTTTTTTTATCATTTTAATTTATTTTTCTTGTTACAAAAGTTTAAAGAAAATAGCGGGAGGTCTTTCACCACGTCTGTCCTATCACGCATTTCTTTTTTTTTTCACTCAATAATAATAATTTAAAAAATTATTAAATAATAAAAATAATAATTTAAATATATTAGCATTCCTAAACATGTTTTGTGACCAAACTATTATTTTCGGGAATATCTGTTTAATAAAACTTTTTTGTGTAAATGTATGAAACATATGATGATTGTCAAGTTCAAAGTTCAAAAGTAAAAACATCATAATAAATAAAAACGGGGATAATATTTATTTATTTAGATATAGGCCCTCTATTATTATAAATAATCATCTTTTCTGTATTTAATACTAAATTAATTACTGAATGAAGTGCACTGTACAAACTTACAGCTCGTGCTGCTCTAATTGACTTAATGCTGAGATCACTTATTGTGTACATTTAAAAGACGCTCGTCATTCTGTCACCACGGCAACTTGAGTTGGCTTAAACATCCACACAACTGTCTCGATCCCGATCATCGCGCTGCAAAACTCTTATCAAATCTCCTGTTGGCGAATTTCATCAGTTTGTCTACTTTTGGAAATTGTTTTGAAGCTGTTCATGATGACTCTGAGGCGCTCAAGAAGAACCAGAGCTGTCCCTGCTCACCTGAAGGGCTTCCTGCTGGAGCGCGTCTCTTCCCGTGATGAGCCAGCAGCGGCGGCCAGGCCGGACACCTCCAGCTGCGTGTCGGACACTTTTCTGGAGGACAAACACCTGAGGAACGCGGCTGTCCTTCCTGTCCTGCGCCCCGCAGCCTCAGTCTCCACAGTGGGTGAGTGTCCGCAGGAGGAGCCGCTGTCCATCCACGGCCGGAGTGTGCAGGAGTACCAGCACATCTACCGCAGCGTGATGGACTCCACCATGAAGAAGCGGCGCCGTAGCAGATACAGCCTACAGCAAGGCTTGGAGATCAAGCAGCGGCTGTGGGAGAAGCTGGACCGGCCTGCACTGCTGGAGACAGAGATGCCTGACGGACGTGTGGTCATCACAGAGATCAGGTCTGGGTCCAGCCTCGCTCCCCATATCAAGGTAGACATCAGTAAAGAGCCGCTGCCAAAGGAGCCCAGAAGAAAGAAGGCCAGGCACTGAGCCACCCTAGTGCCAGATGGAGGATCAAGGGCACGTATGTACATATGTATATATTGTATATAGTTATAGAATAAGTTTGCAATGCATTCAAATGGAATTTTCATTCATGTTTTCTTCACATTGCTGGATGTTTTGGTGATTGTCGGTGCTGTTGATTCGGCTCTTGGGTTCTTTTGGACGTTGACATGCGTTTAGCAAGGTTTTCTTGGCGGTTTCTTGCGTGTTGCTGGTCTCCTCTGAGTGTATTCCATCCACAGTCTGTTCCATTTCTGGGACATATCGTGTCGGTCGAGGGGATGCGCATGGATCCAGAGAAAGTTCAGGCTGTGGTAAATTGGCCAACCCCAGACTCCCGCAAGGCCCTGCAGAGGTTTCTTGGTTTTGCCAATTTTTACCGGCGTTTCATTCGCAACTTCAGCCAGCTCGCCGCACCTCTGACTGCCTTAACCTCCATCAAGACTCCGTTCAGGTGGTCCAATGCAGCACAAGTTGCATTTGACCGACTGAAAAGCTGCTTTGTTTCAGCCCCCATTCTCATTGCCCCTGATCCATCACGGCAGTTTGTGGTGGAGGTTGATGCATCAGAGGTGGGGGTCGGTGCTATCCTGTCCTAGTGCTCTTTCTCGGACAACAAGATGCATCCTTGCGCGTATTTTTCTCATCGTCTCAACAATGCAGAACGAAATTATGATATTGGTAATCAAGAGCTGCTGGCTGTCAAGCTTGCGTTGGAAGAGTGGCGTCATTGGCTAGAGAGTTCAGGGGTTCCCTTTATCGTTTGGACTGATCATAAAAATCTGGAGTACATCCAATCCGCCAAAAGATTGAACTCTAGGCAGGCACGGTGGGCTTTATTTTTTGGACGTTTCGATTTTTCCATCTCGTACTGACCAGGTTCCAAGAATATTAAACCTGACGCACTTTCTCGAATTTTTGATTACTCCGAGCATGCATCATCTCCTGAAGCCATCGTGCCACGCAGACTTTTTATCTCTGCTGTCACCTGGGAGATCGAGTCAAGGGACCGCATGGCCTTAGAAGGGGTAACGCCTCCGCCTGGATGCCCACCGGGTCGTTTATTTGTGGCAGAGGATTTACGGTCTGACGTCATACGTTGGGGTCACTCTTCCAAGTTGGCCTGTCATCCTGGGGTAAGTCGTACCTTGTCTTTAGTCAAACAACGATTCTGGTGGCCACTTATGGCTCGTGACATAAGGGAATTTGTGTTGGCTTGCTCAGTTTGTGCTGTTTCTAAGACTTCCAATCGCCCTCCCGCTGGACTTCTTCAGCCGCTGTCAGTGCCATCGAGACCCTGGTCCCATATTGCGCTAGATTTCATTACGGGTCTCCCCCCCTCCAACGGGAATACAGTGATTTTGACCGTAGTGGACCGGTTTTCGAAAGCCACTCACTTTATCCCTCTGCCCAAATTACCATCAGCCAGAGAGACAGCGGCTGCTGTCATTGACCATGTCTTTCGTATTCATGGCCTCCCGACAGATGTGGTTTCTGACAGGGGGCCTCAGTTCATCTCTAAATTTTGGAGAGAGTTTTGTCATTTAATGGGGGCGACTGTTAGTCTTTCTTCTGATTTCCACCCTCAGAGTAACGGTCAAACGAAGAGAGCCAACCAAGATCTTAAACGTATGTTACGATGTTTAGTCTCTCAGAATCCATCCTCCTGGAGCCAGCAGCTCTCATGGGTTGAGTACGCACATAACTCATTACCAGTGTCTGCCACGGGCCTCTCTCCGTTTGAGTGTAGTCTAGGGTACCAGCCACCTGCATTTCCCAGTCTGGAATCTGAAGTCGCGGTTCCCTCCGCCCACGCCTTTGTCCAGAGGTGTCGACGTACTTGGAACAGGGCCAGACAGACCCTCCTTCAAGTAGGTTTGCGCACCAAGGCTAAAGCCGACCGCCACCGTTCTAAGCCTCCCGTTTACGTTGTCGATCAAAAAGTGTGGCTTTCATCTAGAAATATTCCTCTCCGCACCGTATGTAATAAACTTGCACCTAAATTCATTGGCCCGTTTTCTGTCACTAAAATCATTAGTCCAGTGGCAGTCCGCCTCAAACTTCCTCCAGCGTACAGGAGAATTCATCCCGTTTTTCATGTCTCTAAATTGAAGCCCGTTTTTCATACGGACATTAATCCGCCTACTCCGGTTCCCCCCCCCCCGCCGCGTCTCGTAGAGGGGGAGACGGTTTATTCGGTTAGGCGCATTCTGGACTCGAGACGGAAGGGACGAGGATTCCAGTACTTGGTGGACTGGGAGGGTTACGGTCCAGAGGAGAGAAGTTGGGTTCCTGCAAGGGACATATTGGATCATTCTCTCATCGATGATTACAATCGCCAGGTAAGCTCTTCTGTGAGCGGCAAGAGGCGCTCTTAGGAGAGAGGGTACTGTCACGGTTTATGGATCTGTGTGTTCCTCCTGTATGTTATGTATCTTGCCTTGTGTGTTGTCATGTGTGAGGGTGTGTGTTTGTTTACCTTTTGTGTTGACAGCGTGCTTTTGGATCAGCTGATGTCATCAGCTGACTTAATCATCTTCCAGCCAGTCCTTATTTGCCTGGCTATATATTTCCTCATGTGGTATGTTCTGGTTATCAGTCCGTTGTTTATCTTGTTTCTGTCTGTTGTTTTCCAGAATCCTTCGTTGTTCATTGATGTCTTCATTGTGACCCGTGGCTCTCGTTTCGAACTTTCTTGTCTCCAGTTCACTCCAGAGATATCCTTTGTTTCATTTTTCAGTTAATAAACACTTGCAATTGGATCCTTTTCGTTTAGTGTCGTGACATCAGATTCATTAAACATTTATTCATTCATTCCCCTGCGGCTTAGTCACTTATATATCAGGGGTCACCACAGCAGAATAAACTGCCAATTAAACATTCCACAAGATCAAAATAATCTACAGTGCTTTAAAATCATAGGACAGGAAGAGCTTGATAAACTTATAAATATGTCTAAACCAGCTACATGTATGTTAGAGCCAATTCCAACAAACTCACTAAGAGAGTTGCTACCTGTAGTAGGAGAACCTCTTCATAACGTCTCAACTCTTCTTTATCTTTAGTGTACTATCAGCCGTCTTTATCAAAACTGGTTAAAAACCAGTATAATCTACATTCAGGCAGTTATACTCTTACTACACAAAGTCTATCTTGAATAAAAAAGTAGAATCACTTTAAAATAATTCACCGTAAAATTGGAAAATCACTTTAGACATTTTAGATAGTATTAACTCTTATAAATAACATAAGAAACAGTTTCTTTCAGTCCTCAGCACTTCAGTTTCACTCTAGGTCTCCGTGAACTTTGACCTAGTTTGGTGGCTGCTGAAAAAGTTACAAAGAGACAAGCAAATGCACTGACGATTCTTACATAAAGCAGTGTGTTAAATTATTTATTAGTTAAAATCATTTTAAAGTTAAATACTCATTAAATAATCAAATTGTCATATTTTATAAAAAATAATGAGAAACAGGATGATGTGAAAAGGATAAAAGTTGATCCATGCTGAGATGGATTGGAAGGTATAAATCCGAATCCTTCAGGTCAATCAAAAAATCCTCATAGATCGCTTAAATTTGACAAGTTTCCAGGGAACGGCTTTATGATGGTTTAAGTTTTAGGCCCTTTGCTGTTTACAATATACATGTTTTACTGGATGACCAACAACTTCATTCCTTTAAATTCAGACAAATCAGAAGTATTACTTATTGGGCCAAAATCCTAAACACAGCAGATCTTACAACTCAACCTGTAGTCAGAGGGATACAAAGTTAGTATTAGCTCTACTGTGAAAGATCTGGGAGTTATATTAGACAGCAACTTAACGTTTGAAAACCATAACTCCCATGCCACAAAAACATCTTCTTTCAGTTGAGAATTATCACTAAGTTATGATGAAGCATGTTATCTATGCCAGATGCAGAAAAGCCAGTTCATGCTTTTAGGACTTCTAGACTGGATTACTGTAATGCTCTGTTTGCTGGTTGCCAGGGATCCTCCATTAATAATCTTCAGTTAGAGCCTGAGTTTTTACCAGGTAATGAAAATATGACAACATTACCCTAATTGTAAGTTTTATACACTGGATGCTTGTTAAGTTCAGTTCTGATTATAAAATATTGCTTCTTAACTAAAAACCTTTAACAAATCGAGCTCCTGTTTATCTAAGCCAACCTTCTGTCTTGCTACAATACAACTCGCTCTTTAAGATCTCAAAACTCAGGGCTTGTGGTAGTACCCAGAATAGCAAAGTCCACTAAAGGAGGTCGAGTCTTCTCATTTATAGCTCCTAAACTCTGGAATAACCTTCCTGATAATGTCCTAGGCTCATTGGTTTTATAACTGCTACTTTCATTTATAGCACTTCATTTTCACATTGACATTTAATATCTCTTGTTCAAATACTTATTCAAACAGCAGCTACGCTAATCATTTTCTTTGTTCTCTATTTCTACCTGGGGATGCTCATCCTGAGGCTTCTAGAGATTATGCAGCACCACTGATGAGATCCAAGACCTGTGAAGAGATGATGCCAACCATCGAGGACTCATGGACAACACACACACTCAATACACAAATACACTTCATTAAACATATACACATAGACATCACGTATATGCTATAAGACTGCAGGTTAACAATGTCTACATCAGAACTTAAATTTGATCCTAATTTTAACTTAATTTGATTGTGATGCAATAATGTGATCTTTTGTTAAGCTGCTTTGAAACAATAATTATTGTAAATAGTACAGTAATACTAGACACATAAACCTGGCTTGAGTTGAAGGATGATCTGAAGCTCCTCATCCTGTTCTTCAGCACTGAGATTTTATTCCATCTCATTTCTTAAGCAAAGATGCTGAATTGTACATTACACAGCCATCGTATATTTCTGGCCTTAGCATTGCTCAGTTTACTATTTTCAATGAGTGTATCAATGATGATCCTTACGGTCAGTGTCAATATCAGGGGTGCCTAAACTCGGTCCTGAAGAGCCCTACATAGTTCAGCTTCACCTTGCCTCAACACACCTGCCTGGAAGCTTCTAGTACACCTATATAGAGCTTGATTAGCTGGTTCAGATGTGTTTAATTGTGGTTAAAGCTCAAATCTGCAGAACATCGGCCCTCCAGGAATGAGTTTGGGCACCCCTGGTCTATACTATATTCAGTAGTTAGTCACCTCTCCTTTTACCTTGTGATCTCCAGTGTCTGCGTCTCTCTCCTAGTGTGGTCTATCCTGGTTCCCTGACTGGTTGTCATGTAGTCTCCGTGTTTGGTCGCCTGTGTTCCTGGTTATCCGGCATCTACTTCTAGTAATACCAACATCCATCCAGCGTTCTTTTTCACTTGTTTCTGTTGACTGCCATCCTGAAAATAAACTTAATATACTAACCATCCTCATTCCAGTCCTTTTGAGACACCAAGCATTGACCAGCTTGTTAAACATAAATATGTTGTGTTATGATCTAATGCTTAGGCAAATAACTGAGAAAGCACAAATCAGAGGCTGCGTTTTTATCATGTCGTTATTATGTATTGTAGACGTCTTGCAAAGTACTTTATGGTTTTTTTAAACTACAAAATTAGAAGAAAGTATTTTAATACAAAATATTCAGCCATTTTTATCAACCCTATAATACAATTGATAACGTATTGTTTTGTTTTTGAAATCTGTATTTGAAATAAATGTATCATAAACACTGTCCATGCCTGTGTGTAAACATGCTGAGCATAAATACACCCCTCACAGATCTCTTTTATTTTTCATATTTTTACAGGATGCTTTATATTAATATATTTGTGCATGTATATTAGTTTAGTCAGTATCAAAGCTAAAACTGGATTTATTCAAACACAAAGAAACCTTTAAATCACAGTTCAAAAATGACTCTCAGATTAATATGTTGCAAGAAAATAATTTAATAAACAGGAAAAATCAAGACATGATAAAATATCAAATGAAGTTGAGTTTTTGTATTTTTTTTTAATTTGAATTTAAATATATTGACATTTAGCTTGAAAAGATTCTCCCATACTTCATATCTGAAGAGCAAACAGGTTTTCTTAAAGGGAGACATTTGTTTTGTAATGATCGTACTCTTTTGAATATGCTCTTTTGCTGTCCCTGAAGTTGGGATTTGCTCCTGATGCTGAAAAAGCATTTGACAGAGTTGAATGGCCGTACCTCTTTGCTGTACCCAAGAACTTTGGTTTTGAGAAAACTTTTATTTCATGGATTCATCTCTTATATGCTCAGTCCTAGGTCAGTGTAAGGCATGCATTCGCAATACTTTAAATTAGGCCGAGGTAGGCGACAGGGATGTCCACTTTCCCCTCTAATATTTGCTCTGGCTATTGAGCCATTTTATGCGAATGATGACCTGTTGTTATATGCCTGTAACTTGATGGCTGCCATTCCTTCTATCATTTCCATTCTTAACCAAATTCGGCTGATTTTCTGGTTTTAAAATTAATTTTCATATGAGTCAGTGTGACTCTGTTAATGCTTCAACCCTGCAACTTAAAGACTCTGAGGTTTAATTTAGGATGTGTACATCTGGTTTTAAATATCTGGGATAAATTTTACCAGATCTCTATCACCTCTCTTTACTGCTAATTTTACTCATTTATGCTCAAACTTTGACTTCCAAAAGTGACACAATCTTCATTTATCCTTAATTAGAGAAATGAACACAGTTAAAATAATTGTTATTCCTAAATTTGTCATTTAAAAACCTACAAAAAAATTTAAAAAGACATGTTTTTATTTACTCATTTTTATTTACTATTGATATTATTATTGTTGTTGGTGTTATTATTATTATTATTCAGTCATGCTATTTAACACTATTTTTTTTTATCATTTTAATTTATTTTTCTTGTTACAAAAGTTTAAAGAAAATAGCGGGAGGTCTTTCACCACGTCTGTCCTATCACGCATTTCTTTTTTTTTTCACTCAATAATAATAATTTAAAAAATTATTAAATAATAAAAATAATAATTTAAATATATTAGCATTCCTAAACATGTTTTGTGACCAAACTATTATTTTCGGGAATATCTGTTTAATAAAACTTTTTTGTGTAAATGTATGAAACATATGATGATTGTCAAGTTCAAAGTTCAAAAGTAAAAACATCATAATAAATAAAAACGGGGATAATATTTATTTATTTAGATATAGGCCCTCTATTATTATAAATAATCATCTTTTCTGTATTTAATACTAAATTAATTACTGAATGAAGTGCACTGTACAAACTTACAGCTCGTGCTGCTCTAATTGACTTAATGCTGAGATCACTTATTGTGTACATTTAAAAGACGCTCGTCATTCTGTCACCACGGCAACTTGAGTTGGCTTAAACATCCACACAACTGTCTCGATCCCGATCATCGCGCTGCAAAACTCTTATCAAATCTCCTGTTGGCGAATTTCATCAGTTTGTCTACTTTTGGAAATTGTTTTGAAGCTGTTCATGATGACTCTGAGGCGCTCAAGAAGAACCAGAGCTGTCCCTGCTCACCTGAAGGGCTTCCTGCTGGAGCGCGTCTCTTCCCGTGATGAGCCAGCAGCGGCGGCCAGGCCGGACACCTCCAGCTGCGTGTCGGACACTTTTCTGGAGGACAAACACCTGAGGAACGCGGCTGTCCTTCCTGTCCTGCGCCCCGCAGCCTCAGTCTCCACAGTGGGTGAGTGTCCGCAGGAGGAGCCGCTGTCCATCCACGGCCGGAGTGTGCAGGAGTACCAGCACATCTACCGCAGCGTGATGGACTCCACCATGAAGAAGCGGCGCCGTAGCAGATACAGCCTACAGCAAGGCTTGGAGATCAAGCAGCGGCTGTGGGAGAAGCTGGACCGGCCTGCACTGCTGGAGACAGAGATGCCTGACGGACGTGTGGTCATCACAGAGATCAGGTCTGGGTCCAGCCTCGCTCCCCATATCAAGGTAGACATCAGTAAAGAGCCGCTGCCAAAGGAGCCCAGAAGAAAGAAGGCCAGGCACTGAGCCACCCTAGTGCCAGATGGAGGATCAAGGGCACGTATGTACATATGTATATATTGTATATAGTTATAGAATAAGTTTGCAATGCATTCAAAAGGACTTTTCATTCATGCTTTCATCACATTGCTGGATATTTTGGTGATTGTCGGTGCTGTTGATTCGGCTCTTGGGTTCTTTTGGACGTTGACATGCGTTTAGCAAGGTTTTCTTGGCGGTTTCTTGCGTGTTGCTGGTCTCCTCTGAGTGGTTTTTTGGATCATTAGTGGTTGTTAGTGTTGGCTGTTGGGTTAGGGTAGGTTAGGGTCCCTCGCACGGTTTGCAGCTTGACGTGCTGTGAGGGCTTGTGTGCATCAGTGATGCTGAGAGCTATGCCACTGGTACTTCACAGCTACCGGTAGGGTCACCCATAGTGGACAGGTCTCAGCTGAGATGCCCGACCAAGACAAACCACCTGATTCTGGACAGCAGAAGATGGACTGATGCTCCAGACAGAAGATGTCAACTTCAAAATCTCTCTCACACTCTCTCTCTCTCTCACACTCTCTCTCTCTCATACTCACACACACACACACACACACACACACACACGCACACACACACACACACACACACACACAAACACACACATAAACAACACACACACACACACACACACATATACACATATACACATACACACACACACATACACACACACACACACACACACACACACACACACACACACACACACACACAGACAATAAATAAGAAAAAAAATCTTACTAATTAAATAACTACTGGTAAAAAATTATTTACCTTAATTTAAAGAATATTTTAAATTTTTGGAAAAAATATACTTTTTCAATGTTTTGAAATAGGCAAGTCTACTTTTACTAAAACACATGAATGAAATTAATGGATTATATCATCAAACATGTAACACTCATGGCCCTGTGGTAAAATAAAAATTAGTGACCACTGAACAGTTATTATTGGTCTTCCTGAATTGAATTGATGCAAATTATTGAGAAAATTCCATGTTTAATGATATAAAATTGACTCAGAAATGACCACCGAAAGAAGACTTCAGTTCATTATTGTAATAAATGTGAAAAGAAGCAAGTAAACATTTACAAAAATAATCTACAATACAAAGAAATTCATACAGATTTAAACGGCACAAAAGTGTGTAAATGATGACAAAATGATTTTGTGTGTGTGAATTATCCCTTTATTAAACAAAAGTTTATTGCACTTTTTTGCATTTTAATATGAAATTCAGATTTTTAAAATGAAAATAATCCTGAAAATCAGGATGTAAATCTTCCAGTAGGTGGTCATAATGTCTATTGAGTGAGACGATTTGGTCAAACAACTGAATCATTCAACAAAGAAGTAAAGCGCTGTCTGGACTGTTTAAAACATTCAGAGTCATTCAGAAAGTAGAAACACACAAGATCTCATGTGGCCTTTAAGGTAATGTTTTACACAATTCTCAGTACTTTTTTCATTTTTAAATACAAAAGGAAATTTTGACCTAATTTACAACATTCTCAAATCTCTGAGTGGCCATGAGCAGAAGATCTGAGTTCAGAGTTTTCATTTAAGAATTATTATTGACCTTGATATTATTATTACTATATTACTGCTACTATTAATTTTTACTAGGCACACACAGAATCTGCGGTCGCAGAATTTCGCAGATTTTTTTCCTCAGATTTTCTGCAGATTTCCGCAGACTTTTAGCCCATCATTAATTCTGTTTATTTACTCGAGTAAAAGTGTGTAAATCTGTATTTATTCAGTTTTTAAAATAATTACAGTAATATTATTGACTAATTTAAAAATATTCATCTGAACTATGTACAGTGCACTTTGTAAAGTAATATTTTTTGTCTTTTAGTAGATATAATATATGAGAGACTTGCTTTGTTTACCAAATAAAGTGAATGTAATTGGATTTGCATTTTAGACATTAAATAAAAGTTAAAAAGATATTATTTTTTATTACACATATTAAGGTTTTAGTTATGATACTCCCAAAATAGTTCTGCTGAATTCTACAGCAACACAAATGCTCTTGTGCGCAGGAAGAAGTTCCTCAGACAGGAAGTGGAGAGCAGTACTTTTGGAAGCCCTGCTGCTGCTGCTGAGTTTGTGGAGCACCTGCAGTCCAGATACTGGATCTCTACTCACCTGCACTCAACTCAACACTGATGCAGCACCAGGTGGCTCCTCATTCACTGTCACTGATTCTTGTTGTTACAGTGCCTCATTGCCAGTGTTTTTAGCTCTGTCGTGTAGGTTATTAATTTCCATTTTTATCATAAAATAAATCCATATTCATTACTATTTTCCTTGTTTAATTTAATTTATATTACAAACAAATGAGATTCCAGAGATTCTTGCTTTAGCCTGATAGCATCACTAGCCAACTAAAGTTATTAGCTTCTTTCACTTACTGTCTTGGCTCTTCACCCTGTACAATGTCACTTGTGTGTTTTTCTTTGAGTGCAGGAGAAGCATCGGTGGAGGGGTTGGAACTGGACTGGAGGCAGTGGAAGCACAGATCTGTGACCTCTAAATGAAACTAGTACAGCTCCCAAAAAAAACGAAACTTTGCTTGAAGTTCTCTAAGGGCTGCTGCTCGCTCATCTGACGTAAGTGTGCGATACAATCTCAACACTTCTTCCACCTCAGCCCCGTGTGTTTCTCTGTCCAGGCCCAGTTTATCAGGGACACGGCACGCCCAGGTGTTGTTCACTTCAGTACCAGGCCACTGCAGCCCCTGGGTGCAGCAGTGGTAGACTCGAGCCAGGACTCAGGGCAGGGTCTCTCCTCCACCGCCACCTCCAGTGTTTGAGATTCTCACAGAGAACCGTTTTCCCCCCACCTCTTTGAGACAGGACACGACGTCGCAATCCTCTGTCATTCAATCGTTGCGACATCTCTGTGCTGCATCCACTAAGGGTAATAATGTACGCAATCACTGCTTTTCTATTGCTTGTGCTAAGGATGTTTCTGCTAAGGTATCCGATATCCTGAGTGCTGGCGAGAACATTGAAACTGTCGTCCTGCACGTGGGGATGAACGACACCAGGCTGCAGCAGACGAAGATCCTGAAGAGGGACTTTTGGAGCCTGACCGAGATGGTCTGATGCACTTCAACCAGCTACACAGATCATCATTTCTGCAACTCTTCCTACTCACCGCTGAGAAAATGTAAGGTTCAGTAGACCTTTTGCTCTGAATGAATGGCTGTTAACATGGTGTGATGAACAGAAGCTGCTCTTTGCTAATATTTGGAATGTTTTCTGGGAGCGTCCTCGGCTTTTCCGTGCAGATGGTCTGCACTCTCGCAGAGCTGGAGCTGAACTCCTGTCTGACAACATCTCCAGGATGCTTCGTTCTGTTTGACTTGTGAGTGAAAATTCACATTTTAGCCATATAGACTTTTGCTTGTCCCACTAAAATCCCAGAAATGTGTCTCACCCTATAGAAACTGTGTCTGTTCCTCATACTTTTAGATTAAGAAGTAAATTTACTATGTATTCAAGAAAACATCTAATAAGAATACACTAGATCTAATTTTGTCTCATGGAATTGAGGTCATTGATGTAAACATTACACCACAAAGTAATGATGTAACAGATCACTACCTCTTAATATATAAGCTGTGTTTACCTGAAATGAGCAAATCTGCACAGATATATCGCCCTGGTAGAATTATCGTTCCGTCCACTAAAGACAAATTTTTGAATAACTTTCCTGATCTTTCTCTATTTCTAAGTGCACCCGCAAACACAAGTGACCTTGATGTAGTAACTAGCAGCATGGATGCTATCTTCATTAACACACTAAATACTGTGGCACCCATCAAATTAAAAAAAGGCTAGAGAGAATAAAACTACATCATGGTATAACCGTCATACTCGCACTCTCAAAACAGCAACTCGTACCCTTGAACATAACTGGAAAAAACAAACTATTAGAGGTCTTTAGAATTGCGTACAAAGTATGTCCAGCTATAGGAAGGCTCTAAAATCCGCCAGGGCTGAGCACCTTCACAAACTAATAGAGAATAACCATAACAATCCTAGATTTTTATTTAACAGCTTTGCTAAACTGACAAATAATCGGTCTTTGTCAGAACAAATTTCCCACCACAAATTAGTAGTGATGACTTAAAAAAAGAAGGATTCAGACAGAAAATAGAAGATGTTAAACTTTCTGCACCATCTTATAGTTCAGATTCATTAAACATTCATTCATTCATTCATTTCACCTTCGGCTTAGTCACTTATATATCAGGGGTCACCACAGCAGAATAAACTGCCAATTAAACATTCCACTAGATCAAAATAATCTACAGTGCTTCAAAATCATAGGACAGGAAGAGCTTGATAAATTATAAATATGTCTAAACCAGCTACATGTATGTTAGAGCCAATTCCAACAAACTCACTAAGAGAGTTGCTACCTGTAGTAGGAGAACCTCTTCATAACGTCTCAACTCTTCTTTAACTTTAGCCCATATTCCAAACCCTTTCAAGCTATAGCTGTTATTAAGCCTATTATTAAGAAACCACAACTGGATGCCAGCATTTTAGCTAACTATAGGCCCATTTCAAATCTTCCATTTATGTCTAAAAAATTTGATTTTGTAGTGTTTCAGTCAGGGTTCAGGCCTCATCATACTACAGAAACTGCGTTACTGTAAATAACCAACGATTAACTTTTGGCTGCTGACAGAAGCTGCACCTCATTACTAGTTTTACTTGATTGTGTCGAATACAGCACTAAGGTCTGTGGGGATTATTTACAGTTTTAACCCAAAGAATGACCAGTCTGTCAGATGAATAAGAGCCGGAATCAGAGAGGAAAATAAATAAATAGGGCTCTATTTTGCGGTACATGTGCAAAACGGAAAGCGCAGGGCGCAAACGCTTTCAGGACGTATCAGAATCCATATTTGCTAGTTAAGGAC